TTTCTATTTCTATTTCCTAGAACAGTTTCTAAACAAAAAAAACGCATTTGATAACTGCACAAAATTTCCTATTCCCGGAATAAAAAAGAATAGAAATGCATGTAGTAACTATGTAAAATTTCTATTCCTAAATAGAAAAAGAATAGAAACTCGTTGAGTAACTACACAAAATTTCTATTTCTGGAATACAAAAATTTCTATTCCCAATTTTTTCATACAATTATCTTCTTTGTTGTAAGTAGAAGAGGTGTGATGTCCCTTTTTGACCTCTTCTACCAACAAACCAACATACAAGTTGGTTAAAAACTCGGTCCACTTTGCGGTGAATGCCTCTTTCTTGGATGTCATTTAACCTTCACTAGTTGAGCTTCATTTGAGTTCATGATAATCATATAGATGGAAAACCACTTTTTGTGTTGTTTTTTAAAGTAAAGATGTTCAAATAGTGCCATACCAAATACAGACATATTCATGAATACATTGCATGGATAGAGAAATAATCCGCAGCACATCTGTGTGAGTCGTGGGAGTGTGTGTGAGCTCAGCTGCAACCAAGAAGTGAATATGTCCCATGCAAAGTAAGTGGAAACCAACCAGAAAGAGAAGACCTAAAAATATATATAGTTTGTTTTTACACAAGTTCCCTTCGTCATGATGAACAGGTCGAGAGCACAAGTGGATCTCAAAAGGGTCTAATATGCAGTGGGTAGTTCAAGTTAACGAAGTTGCAAAAGGCCTCATGGCCAAAATGTATAGACTAAAATAGATTCTCAACTAGCCGGATCCTTTAATCATATGTAAACGGAATCAATATGGAAAGCAGGCTTCTAAACATCTCAGCAAATGTTTATTCTGTCTATGTAGAGCTTGAGTTATACTATTAACTAAGAATCAGCACTTCTTTGCACTGAGTTTGTTAAGCTTGTTTACCTAATCTCTCCATTGAATCGTGACGCAAAGTCTTGCATTTCCATCACAATGAAGCAAATCCATATGTAGAACGTAACCATTCAACTTCAAGAAGTGAGAATCACAACTAGATAATGTACAAAACAAGGAATCAAAGCAAAAAACTTGGATTCAGGGCGACCGAGAGAAGCAACCGAGAGAGAGGTGAGCACGATTGGAGCAATCGACAATCAAGCGAAGACAGGACAACCGAACAGAGGCGGTGTGACCGTAGAGTCACGACGTGGTTGGACAGGGCGACCGAACAGAGGCGATTGTTGGAGGTGAGTTGCATGTAGATCTGGACTGGACGAGAGGCGACAAAGGCAGCGCCACCGCAAAGAGCCGACTAGACAGAGGCGATGGTACCGGAGAGAGCCAATCGAACAGAGGCGATGCCACCGGAGAGAGCCGACCGAATAGAGGCAACACTTTGGTGGTGGTGAGCTGAGATGGAGGTGTTGTGCACGAACTGGAGAGGCGAGCAAGTGAGAATAGAGATATTATGGTTTGTGAGAAAAATCGTTTCTCGTTTTTGTTCTAGAAGCAAGAATAGATTTTTTTTTACTTCTTGTTTCTGTTTCAAATCAATTCCCTGGCCATTTTCTATTCTGGGGAACAAAAAAATTAATTAACGTTACCAAACGGATTTATGTTCTTTTTCTATTCCAGGGAACAAAAGAACAGAAAACAAAAAAATAGAAACATTACCAAACAAGCCCTTACATGACCGAGTAAAAGGCTACGAGGACGAATTGGCCACAAAACGGGTCACGACAGAGGAAAGGATCACACCCACAAGTGTAACAAGTTTATAGAGTTTTTCCATAATGAAGGGATAGTGACGCACTACACTCTGCCATAGACACCATAACAGAAGGAGTGGCGGAATAGTAAACATAATTCTTCTTGAGAGACCTCGGTGTGTGCTCTGGCGTGCCGTTTTGGGCAAAGAATTCCAGGCAAAGGCAGTGAACATGGATTCTAACCTGATAAACCGACCTCTATCAACTGCTATTGAGTCAAAGAATCTTGTAAGAAGTATGACGGGAAAACTTGCTGATTATTCCGATCTTCAAGAGGTCGAATGTCTTGCGCTTTCTCATGCAAATTATGCTTAGTTTGAGCCACACTGGCGAAGAAGTGACTATTTCTGGGTTATATAGACGGGTTGAAAGTGTTAGAAAAATTCTAAAGGACTGATGACCCAATTATACATGGACAAACAAAATTCATGCATTATCAGGACCTAATGCGGAAACGTGAAAATTCTTTACTAACCTCCAGCCATTGATGAAGTTCGAATGAAAACCTGAATCGTCGAGTGTCGTCAAGCATTGAAGAAAGATATCTCTAGCCAATTGCCCTCTTGAACATGATGGTGTGTTTTTTTATTATGAGAAGGTTTGGCTTAGAAGATCCCTTTATATCCATTCGCACCCATTCATACGACTTTTTCCATCAAGAAGTCGTGCCTTTTGGGCGGTCGCCATATAATGGATAATTATCACGCAATTTAATGTGGAGAATAAACGTTAATGAAATTAACCGAATGTGGGAATGATAAACCGACTATGGAATCACATTATTGATATTATAACATAAAGGTCACCGGTTGTGGGATCTTTTATCCTGGTCGGTGGGGAAATTACCAAATGCCTAGCATTCTCTCACGCTTGGCACCAACGAGTTTTTTAAGGAAAAAAAAGAAGAAGATCATACACAACACAAATGGGCATTTGTTCTATTTTCATTGGAATTCTGGATTTTCAGCTTATGAGGGTAGTATGGGATCCATAGTAGGTGAGAAAATCAACCGTATATGTGCGAAAATCAACTGTTTACAATTCTTTGGTAGGAATAAATTAGAAAAAGGGGCATGTTGGTGCTTATTCATATTGACAGCTACTCTAGAACAAATGCTTTTATGCGGTGCTCACAATTTAATGACTATCTTTGTAGCTCAATCAATGACTCCTATGGGACATGGTTAGTGAGTACTACAATTCGGCGGAGGAACTTCAGAACACCCTAGGGGAAATGTATCGGGCGCCATAGCTTTCTTCTCTCGGTGTCAGTGTTGGCTCAGTATAGTGCTTTTGCCATCATCGGATCCTAGATAATTTGGTTTCATAGTTAGGAAAGATGTTATATTCGACAAGACTGCTATTCTTCAACCGAGGAATAGAGAGATATAGGAAGAGGAGCTTCAGGTAGAGGCTCCCATGACTTTGAAGGTAACAGAGGAATATACTATAGAAGAGACCGGAATCGACGAGGAAGTGGGTGATGATAACCTGCATAGCCGCAATAGAGTATAGCCATGATTGTAGGTGACGAAATTGAGACATATGAGCCATGGTAGTACTTCAAAAAGATGGCTAGTACTAAGCTATCATAATTATTGGCTACTATGAGCAAAGAGATTGAATCTCTCCAAGTTAACTAGACATATGAGTTGGTCAAGGTACCGAAGAGCAAGAAAAGTGTTGGGTGCAAGTGAATTTTCAAATGAAATGAAGGCATTTCCAAAGTCGAGCACAATTCATAGCACATTTGATGGCAAAGGGATACACGCAGCGAGAGTGCATCGACTAAAAGAAGTGTTCTCTCCTGCGGCAAGACATTTTTTTAGTTTTGTGTTTCTTGTTATAGTGTCTGCACGAGATCTCTAGTTAAAGCAATTGGATATGAAAACAATGTTCTTGCATGGTGAACTAGACAAAGGGATTTTCTATAGACAGCCTAAGGGTTGCGGTTCGACTAAAGAAGCGGTACAATGCTTTCATGGCTAGTCGGGGTTACTTTAGGCAACTTCTTCCGAGAGCCTCCAAGGACACTAGCCAAGCAACTCTCATGTAGAGAAATTTTACGACTTCCAATACACTCATTTTACTCATGTTATTGCCATCTGTTGAGAAAAACCCCTAATGAGTTTTGAGGAATGACAAAACTATCTGTTACTGACCAGAATTACACTTAAGTTATTTGATGCAGGTAAATGCTGAGTCATCAGACTTAGTCGATGAAAGGACTTTGTCATCAGACTCAAAATTACTCGTCAGATTTAATGAGTATTATTTTTGGCAAGTTCATGCAGGACAATCAAATTGATATCTCAAGATATTCTAATTGGCAATCACAAGATCGTTCATTAAACACGAAGAACTACACTTATGGAAACCTTGATTCAATTGTATGGGCGATCAAATCACTTGGAGATAATGGTTCTTCTTCTAACGGCTATGCATTTTCTTTTGGGAAGTTTCTCCAACGGGTTGATTTGGAGATTAATCCTCTGAAGACAGTCCAACGGATAAATTGGAAGTAGAGGAGTATAAAAGGAGTGCAAACGTCGTACAAGATATAGAACCAGAATCGAGAATTCCAAAGTTTGAATAGAGCTTCGATCTTACACACTTGTGATTACTGTTTTCTACGTTGTGACCTTAGAAAAGAAAATTACTTGAGTGAAGAGTGTACGTGATAGTGTAGTCTATCATTTGAGAATCACTGCTCTTGTAATCTTTTGGTAATTCAATAGTAAAACACAGCCAACAGGCTGCCAGCGTGGAGAGTGGACGTAGGCTTGATAAAGCCGAACCACTATAAAGATCTGTATGCAGTATTCTCTATCCCTAAACTTTTATTTATTATTACTGATATTATACTGCATACATATCTGTCAAACAATTTCGTCAGAACATCATCTTAGTCATCAGACGCAATCATCTAATGACAATTTACATACAAGTTTGTAATTCGCATCCATTTGATATTGAACATACGAGTTGTTGACCTCGACTATATTCATTCCGCACATTTAAATCATACAATTTTATAAATTCATCTATTCACCCCCTCTAGGTGATAGCACTAGCCGTAACACAATCAATGCCCTAGAAATCGGATTATTCTACACTAAATTTATTTAATGAGTGCTCCAAACACAAATTAACTTGGCCCTACTTCAAAACAAAAAAAAAAGGGGGGGTACATCTACGGGCCACGCCATCGTCGATATACATGGAATATACCCAAATCGACCAAATTTGGGCATGCGTCCCCCATTGTCCCTATAAAGGCCAAGCTGCCAACGAAGCTTCACCCACCTCTTCCCATTTGAGAGACCCACGCCAACACGCCATGGCCTCCATCAACACTTGGTCTATCTTCTTCCTCCTCCTGCTCGCCATCACCGCTCAATCTGTAAGATAACTTTTCTCGTCTTTTGTCTGCTTTTTTTTTATCATGTGCCTCTCTCTATTCATCCTCAGTCATCAACGATTTCCCTTTCTTTCCTTCTTTTCTAATGGATCTCTACCTTCAACGGGTGAATAGGCACTGTCTAGATTAACTTTTTCTTTCTTAGTAACCTGGATACGATTAGATTAAACTTTGTTTATGAGTGATTCCAGGATGATTGTGTCTACACGGTCTACATCCGAACCGGGTCGATAATTAAGGGCGGCACGGACTCCATCATCAGCCTGAGGCTCTACGATGTGCACGGTGAGGGACTTTGGATCAAGGACCTCGAGGCATGGGGAGGGCTGATGGAGCCGGGCCACAACTACTACGAGAGGGGCAACTTGGACATCTTCAGCGGCCGGGGCCCGTGCCTCAGCGCCCCCATCTGCGCCCTGAACCTGACCTCAGATGGGTCAGGCCTGCACCACGGGTGGTACTGCAACTACGTGGAGGTAACTACCACCGGTGTCCACACGTCCTGCTCGCAGCAGAAGTTCACGGTGGAGCAATGGCTGGCCATCGACGTGACTCCGTTCGAGCTCACTGCGATCAGGAATCACTGTCCGTCGGATCTAGATGGGGTCGGTGGTAGTGGTAAGATCGAGTCGCGTGTGGATGTAGATGCTGTGATGTAAGTTTGTAGTGGACATTGTCATGGTAATTCAAATAAATGAGATGTGATCTGTCGTCTAATGTGAATGTAGTCTAATTTAGTAAATCTCATGGTCTTTGGTAACTTTCCTTGTTTTCACTACTTACTTATTATGATAAGGACATGCCTTTTTAATGGTCTAGCATTGCATTATATCTCATCATATTGTTGACTATGAAAGATTATTAAATGAATTTAGTGTGTATAAAACTGAATCTGGCCCAATGGAAACCGCGTGAAACCAACCATTTCGAACGCCTCATATTTAATCTAGCACAAGTACTACATAGACTCCTATTCACTAAGCAATCTTCTCTTAAGCACGAGAAGAGACGTCCTCATCGACCATCTACTCTTTGGTGCGAATGTTCGACTATTGATAGATCGAAGGGGTTGATTCAAGAGATGTTATCTAATTGTGATTTAAATGTATCCATGTGATATTTTCCATCTTTAATTTGATCTGATTGGGAAATAATTAGATGTGATATAATTATCAAAGATTGGCATTCCTGACTATTATTCAACAAAACTTCACTCTTTAAAGGTTTCGCAAATCTTCTCCATGGAGTAACAATTGTTTTTTATGAAGTATATTGTTAGATAAATCTGATCAAACAGGCTTGTCAGATTTTTTTACGTCGTGAACAAATATCGTCCTGATAATGACCTTCGTTAGGTGGAGGTTTGCTGATGCAGGCACGGCAAAATAGGAAAAATACACAAAAAAAACTGTATCTCGCTTTCGACTTAATGAACATTTGTATGTCTCCAGTTTTAGGATACAATGCACATCCACATCGAAAAGACCAAATTACTCATCCCTTCGAATTCATTTTAATATCTTGATTAGGGTTTGAGTGGTTTAGTTATTTGTCGATTTTAAGTGTTGTCTGTGGGCGTGAGAATTTAGAATTCGAGGATGGTTTTGGAAGGAAACTGGCAATTTCGCAAACTGAATATAAAGATAGATTTGAAAGTGCAATATAATGTTCAAAAGTGAAATATATTTATAAATATATTTATTTATTTATTTAAATATATTTATAAGTTTTTAAAAGTAAAAATATATATAAATAGGCGCTCTGATTAGACTTGTCCTTATCCAGATGCTGACAGCCAGATTTGTCGTTCTGTCATTATTGACCATTAGTGCGATTGCGAATATTACCATGTGGCCCAGACCTAAAGCACTCGCTGCTGTCGGGTGTGATTCACCACCAGCTTAGCTAAACTCCAATTGCAACTACGGTTTCCTTTTTTCTCTTTTTTCTTTAAGAAATTTCCTTCATTTGGATTATGCACAATGGGACTGCTTTGTCCTTAAAAGTTATTGGTCTGCACGATTTTGGTACCACATGTGGCCCTTTCTTTAGATTTCGATTAGTTCAATTAGATCTCGATCATATCTTCGACTTTTCCGTTTTTATGAAATGTCGTATTTAAATTTTTAACTGATTCAATTAGTTCCTTGAACTATTGTAATAAGTTCGATAAAATCCTGAATGAATAACAAGTTGTCAAACTACTTGTGAGATTCACTTGAGATTGCAAAATAAAACAACAACATACGTTCAAGTTTTTAGGTAGATTATTCCTTTTAAACAGATATTTTTGACAGAAAATTGGAAGGATATATGGGGAAAAATCGTGATTGTATTTTTCAATAATCAATTGTACATGTACAGAGGTGTATTTATGGTACAAGAAGGAAAATAAAAAATAGGAAACAATATACATCATGATGTTTTCCTATTCTATCGTCTGAATATCCAATTTCACGGATTGGCTAAATCAATTAATCTGAATTATATGTGATCAGATCAAGGATCAAATCGGACAAAATCAAATCCTTTCTCCAACACTCCCCCTCAAGCTGGCTGCTTGTACATATCGAAGATACCTAGCAAGCTAGCATGTTGTCTTTAGCACAATGGTTTGATGAAAATGTCTGCAGGTTGTTCGACAATCCCGATTCCTCATGTTGTGACTATCTCTTCTTTATTTTTATCTCGAGTCAAATGGAAATCGACTTTTATGTGCTATGTTCTTTCATGAAAGATCGGATTTGCCGATAGTTTAAGCACGGCATCATTGTCACAAAACAATTTGCTGGTTCCATCTACTTGTACGCCGAGGTATGAGAGGTCCGAAAGTAGAACTCGTATGCAAACTTTCTCACAAACAATCTTTGTCATAGCTCAATATTCTTATTAGCTAAATATAGTGAGACAGTCGACAGCTTTTTGGTTTCCATGAAATTAAGGATCTTCCCAACTTACTATAGAAACCAGTGATGGATCTTCTAGTCATTGGGCAAGTAGCATAATTTGCATCACAATATGGCGTCATTCTCAAGTTGCAATCTCGAGATAAAAGAATTCCAAGTCTTGGACATCCCTTTAGATATTTTACAACCTTCAGTCCTGCATTCATATGTGACTGCTTTGGACTATGCATGAATTGGCTAAGCATTTGCACAACATAACATATATCAAGCCGAGGCATGGAGAGATATATCAACTTCCCAACAAGTTGATGATATCCTGATGGATCCTTAAGCAACGGGTCTTCATTAGGTGATGATGAACTCGCATCATATTCAAGCGTCATTAATTTAGAATTTTGTTCAATAGGTATGACAATTGGCTTGCATCCTGATAGTCATACTTCTGATAAAATTTCAAAAATGGATTTCCGTTGGCTAAGGCACATTCTCTTATCGGATCGAGCTATTTCAATGCCAAGGAAACATTTGGGAGGTCCCAAATCTTTGATGTGGAAAGTAGAATGCAAATATTTCTTAAATCTCCTAACGGCTAAGTCATCACTTCCCATAATGAGTATATCATCAACATATATGAATAAATAAATTGATGAAGTACCTTTGGTCCATGTGAATAGGGAACAGTCATGCTTTGAGTGTTGAAAACCTGCATTTGTGAGTGCAGTGGTAAATTTGGCATACCACTACCGAGACGCATGCTTAAGTCAATACAGAAATTTACGGAGACGACATACCCGAGACTCCCCCTGTCTTCGTAAACCCTATGAGACTTTCAAGTAAATTTCTTCATCCAGATCGCCATGAAGAAAAGCGTTATGGAGACCATTTGATGCAGTTGCCAATCACGAAAAGCAGCAATAGAGAGGAATGAACGAACAATTACTTCCTTGGCAACAGGTCAAAAAGTTTCATGAAAATCAAAACCTTCTTGTTGCATGAATCCCTTAGCAACAAGCCGAGCTTTATGGCATTCAATGGAACCGTCGGTCTTGTATTTGATTTTGTAAACCCATTTGCAGCTAATTGGTTTTCTATTAGAAGATAGAGAAGCAAAATCCCAAGTATGTTTTTCTATGAGGGCACGTAATTCGGCTTCCATAGCCTACTGCTAGTGTAGATCACGTGATGCCTCCTCATAGGAGGAAGGTTCCTATTCCTCGGATATCCGACTAATACAACACATGTGTTCTAGCGATAGTCGACTAAATGAGACATATGAAGAGATGGGATAATATGTACGTAGAGAGTCCAATGTGGGACATATGTAGTAGTTGGTCCATGTAGGAGGGCGAACATGTTGTCCAGAGCGTCGAGGTCGCTCAATAGTTATCTGCTCAGAAGCTGGTAAAGAAGATTCATCAACATGTGGTTGTGGGGACCGAGCAAGTGAATTGTGCTTTGCACAAGGAGATACTGAAGACTCAATTGCTTGATTTGAGGACTCAGGATTTGCTGGCATTGATGAGATGCTATCCGATGCAATGAAGGCATATTGTGGATTCACAACTAGGCCATCTTCGAATAAGAGCTGCCATTGATTGGATGTTCACATAGGCGATTCGGATGAAGATGTTGTCTCCTAGAATGGAAATGTATCTTTTTGGAAAACATCTCAACTTACAAAGAAATGACCTGTAGATATCTCCATAACTCGACAACCTTTCTGTAGAGGGGGTACTCCATGAAAACACATCGAAGGGAACGTGGATCCATTTTATCCCGAGGGCCCACATTAGTCACATAACAAAAATAGCCAAAAACTCTTAAAAGTGCAATATCCATTTGTTTTCCGAAGAGCATCTCAAAAGGAGTTCGTCCTTCAAGAATTCAAGTTGACATGTAATTGATTAAGTAGGCTGCCGTGACCACACAAATCTCTCAAAAAAATTTAGGAATGGAGGCTTGATATTTGAGTGCTCGGGCTACTTCTAGGAGATGTCGATGTTTGCGTTCAATAACCTCATTTTGTTGGGGAGTGTAAGTGTAAGAACTTTCATGAAGTATCCCATGGGAAAATACAAAGATTTGCACTAAATGGTGAAAAACTCTCATCCATTATCTTTGCAAATCCTTAGGATGGATTTATCGAACTGATTTTTAATCAAGGAGAAAAAATTTGACAGATGGGAAAAAGTTTGACTTTTGGATTGCATTAGAAAAACCCAAGTAGCATGGGTGTGTTGATTCAAAATGATGCTCGTAATTGTTTTACGAAAGGGCAAATTGAACAATTTGGATAAGGAAAATGAGCATTGTGATCCACACATCGATCAGAAACAAAGATTTTCTTGCTATTGGTGACATTACATTAAATAAATATAATGAGGATAAATCAAAATTTCTTGGAAAGCTAATCCAAAAATACAATCCTCGTGCTACACTACCCAAACCCATCAGTTTGCTGGTCAAATGGTTCTAAAAGAAACAACTTTCGGAGTTAACTATGGCGCATTAGGAATTGCCCTCACAGACTTTTGAAACAGATATGAGATTAAACTCAAATTCAGCAATATAGAGAACATTCTTGAGACCAATATTTGGGCTAAGATGAACTGTGCCAATCTTGGTAACATAAGTGACATTCCCATTGAGAAGGCATACCGACATGGAAGAATGAGGCTTTGTGTGTTTTTTGGAAAAGTAATTTCCATTGCAAATTATGTGGTCAGTAGCACCTAAATCAATTATCCACGTATCATGTCATGCCCGGTCCCACGGAAACGCGAACATTGCTCTATGGTCGATAAGTTGCGACGTTCCAGGACGCATTACCGACCTATTTTTTTTTGTCTTTCATATAAACGCATGCGGAAGCGTACTCAAATCTCCCAAATCAACAATCATAGCA